ACTGTGGGCTGCGCTGAGCCAATTATGATAAAATCAAGATTGCTGTCTTCGGAGGAGCCTGTGGGGTTAAGAGTTTCCAGATGCAGCAACAGACCTGTTAGTTCAGGAGCAAGTCCTAGCCCGATCTGACAAGGAAGAGCATTTTAATGAAATTTTAATTCTTTGCTGCTGAAGCAAAGTAGGATCGTGGTTTTAGAATGTGTGTTGGTCTTCACCTCTGAGAGCATTAAGAAAAGGAAATAAATAAACCTCCCTTAGTCAAGCATTTCCAACACACAGCAGCTTATGCCAGCCAGTCCTCAGGCCATTTATAGCTGGTGCAGCTCTCCAAAGCAAGCAGTAGGCACTGTTGCCCACCTTGATGCCTGATTTCTTGATGCCTCAGCAGATCTATGTACCATTGGCAGGTGAAAATAAAAATGAGCTGGTAGTAGTAGTAGTAGTGCTACTTGACTGTCTCCTGATCTGTTACCGATGTTAGTATTTGCATTGCCTGTATTGACTTACTGAGGCAGGCAGAGAGAGGGCAGGCTGTTAGAATGACAGAGAATGCAGCAAAGAGTGGAAACCAAGCACCACTTCCTTTTAATCCCTGTATCTCTTTGCTGCAGATAATCTCTGGTGTTTTACACGTATGTCTCTTTCAGAGGTGCTTTTCTCCGGATTTTAAATGCTATCTAAATGTTATTTTTAAACATTATTTAAAGATTGGCAAAGAGTCAGACTTTGGAGCCTTGAGAAGTCATAAGATGCTGCCTCCACGCCCTTTCTCTGCAACCTCAAAAAAGAAAATAAGGAAGACACCAGTCAGTGGCACAGTTCAGAGGCCTCAATGCATTGGTAACACCCCTGTTTTGCCTCTGCTCCCAGCAGCACATGGTGATCCACTGCTGGTGCCAAACTCCTCGATTTGAGGGGGCGGGCAGGAGGAAGCAGGATTGAACAGGGAGAAGTTTCACCTATGGCTGTAGGCGTGGAGTGGCACAGAAAGGGGTGGCCTTTGCCTGGTGGCCCATTGTAGTCCTTCAAGGTTCTTGCTTTGCTTCAAGGATGTGCCATGTGTCCAGGTGTCTACCAGGTGTGACCGTGTATAGTGATAGATGGGAACAGTTTGCACAATTTCTATGAAGGCATACTTCCACACTCATAACCTGGGAGAGGAAACCTAGGGCTAGGTTCAGCAAGATGTTTAAGTATCTAGAGGTGTAGGTGAATGTCCATCAGGGTTTCTGAATACACCAAGGCAAACACACTTTACTTAAAGTGCCCTTGGAGGTCAGGCCATTTTTACACACCAGCTAAGCAAGTGTGCATAAACAGCTAGTTTTTCCAGAAGAGAGAGGGAGAGGCTGGCAATTCCATCTCCACAATGGTCCAGCTTCACAGGAATCAGTCATGGTTTTTCCTTGTGCTAACAGTGGCAGGTCTAGGGAATTAGACCAGTATTCTTCAGGTTTTCTAGCAGATCATCTCAGATCATGATGAAGCTGCTTCCCTTATTCTGGCCTTTTTGCTCCCTAGGGGCATAGACCCAGGGCCACTGGAGGTGGAAAGGACCTTGGTGCTGTAAATACATCCTAGAGTTCCCTGTGCTGTAGCCTTCAGCCAGGACTATATATGGTCGAGTCAACATCGTTCCTAAAACTCCTGAAGGGCATAACTGCCTGCATCAGACATTGCTTTGATTTGTGCATAACCAATGCTTGGGGAGTAGTTGTAATTCCTGCTCCATGGACTCCTCTTGTGCTGTCAGATACATGGAAAACCTTTCCTGCTTTATTTAAAAATGCATAACCTGGCTTATTTTTGGGAGTTTTATCATTGATTTCTCTGAAATAATTACTACTGAAATTTTGTTGTTTTTTGTCTTAGTTTCCATTCCCTTTTCTGCATGCTTTCACTTTTCATAGCTGAATTGTGTCTTTTTATTTTAAATGAACACATGGGATGACAATTAGAAGTCTTGGGATGGAGATGGTGATCATTAAAGAGTGGTGATGTAGATGGTGAACTCGTCTGTTTATCCACAGAACTGAATGAGGCTTGAGAGGTGTGTGTTGTGCCGCTCTCCTACCTGGAGAAGCTGCCTCTGAAGAGGCACAAGAGGTTAATTCGTCTTCTGCTGCTTGGTCTCTCTTCTGTGATTGCCAACAAAGGTAGCAATTACCAGTGTTATCTCAGGGGATGTTCCCTGATCTGGGTAATTTGGAACTGGGAAATCACACTGACGACTCAGCAAATTTCTTACAGGCCAGATCAGTAGTACAAGAAAGTTGTTAACCTGGACTAAATTTGTGCTAATATTAGGGCAAAAGGTTCCATATCCACTACAGGTCCTTGAAGTATTTGGTTGTTTGAAGGATCAGCTCTACCCAGACACAGTCAAGAATGCTGTACATGCTGTAAAGAGCAAGACAGTTTGTGCCTGTATTTTTGGCTTTCTTTTATTTTTTTAAGGCAACTTCTGTGGCACAGTTTGTACTTCACATAATGAGTATGTATGCTGTCATATTTGTTGTGTGAAAATAAAGAAGAAATCATAGCAACACGTTCTTATGGAAGCAACTGAAATCAAAGGAGATAGTAGTTCAGGAATGACTTTCACAATTTGCAAATGCCTAAGGGGAGTTATGATAGCTGTTTCTTTAGCCTGACATTCAAGGGTACCATAGTGTTTGAGCACTGAAACACAGCAGTCTGAGGTTAAAAAAAAAAAAAGGAAAATAATGTACTGTAAAATAATTGACTACCTGAAATAATTTAACGGGGGCTGTAAATGGATTTAACAGAAGTTGTAGAGGGTTTTTCACGGCTGGTACTTCTAAATCAATATAAAATGTTTTGTTCATGCAGACAAGAAATGTAGGAAAATCTTACGACCACATTAGTTCAGAGTACAAGATCATAATGGCTGGTTTTGGCCTGGTAATGTGTAAGTGCATTGTCCAGAACAATATAGTAGTTTCTGTACTCAAGTCACAAAAGTCCAGGAAAATAAAAGCCATGTAGCCAATCGTCTGACACTTCAGTGTCAAGGAAAACGTTAGGAAAATGGAGGACAGCTTGATTTTCCAGCAAAGTAAATGAACCTGTCGTCTTTGGCTTCGGTAGACTCATGATCATGAAACTTTGGAAACTTATCTGCAGCCATTGAACTGGTTGTGCTGCAGAAGTTCCCAAAGGAGATTCCCGTTTTTGCAGTTTGCTGTGCAGAGGTGTTAAGCCCTCAGTGTGGGGAGCTGCTGAGAAAAATGTCAGGCACTTCTGGAAAAGGAGTAGACAATATATGCAAATCGTTGGTATTTATTCAGTCATGTAGTGGGGGAGAATAAACATTATTCCTGACATTTCCATTTTTGATTAATGATGAATGGAGCTGGCAGATGTTCAGCTGGCCGCCAGATGGGGTCTGCTCAGTCCAACAAACAGAATAGGAACAGTCTGGGTCTGGCAAAGCCAGCATTGACAAAAGCTCTGACAAAATCTTTAGTTCATCCAAATAATACGCCAATTTTGACCTCTAAACGACTAAGCTGTATAAGAATAGAGGTAGTACAACCAGCGAAACTGCTTATGGAAGTGAAATGGGGTGTGGAAGGATGGGAGCTGGTTAGTTTGCTGGAGTTTAGCAGGTTTTTCCCTGCCGCAGGAGCCACAGACTGCGGCTTTGATTCCCCGTGGCTGGAGCCGCGCGGGGCTTTCTGCATTTACCCACGGTTCCAGATCGTGTCTCTGGGCACATCTCCTCGGCTGGTGGTGGGGACGACTGGATGTTAGCCCAGGATGGGCTGTACCTCTCGGGATCAGATAGCCCGGCGGTGGTCCTGGTCCCTCTGCCGGCCTGGCTGCCTGCCTCTAGCGATGGAGAATCAGCCCGCGGGAGTTGTGGAAGCTTCTCCCGGCTTACCGTGAGACTGGCGTGTGCCCAGCCCCCGGGGAGGGGGTGATAGGGCTGAGGACAGGACGCTGCTCCGAGCACCTCAGCCCGCACCTGGACCCGTCAGGGCCAGCTTCCTTCAGCGCACTGCCGGCAAAGCCATTCAAATTTACAGAAGTGAATTTAAACCCATGCAAATTCGGTTCCTGGGGGAAGCGCTAAGTGTCTGAGAAGTGCCCCGTGGCCATCCCGCACGGCGGCCCGGGTAGATAAGCCGCCCCCGGCGGGGAGCTCGGTCTGGGATGCGAGGGCGCTGGGTGGCCGCTGCCCCTCGCAGCGCTGGGGCGCGTCGGGGCCGTATGTGCAGCCGCTCTGAGCCCGAGATGCAGTGCGAATAAATTCCCTTTGATAATGACTTCCCTAGGGAGACAAAGAGCGGGAGGGAAGAGGAAATTTGACCGCGGTGTTCACGGTTACATTGGCGGTGCCGGGAGGAAGCCGTCTGCCTGCCTTTGAAGCCGAACCACCCGCCTCTCGGGGCTTTTTATGCCTACGGGGGTGGGGGAAGTGGTAAAAGCGGGGACTGGCAGCCTGTTAGAAAATGCCCGAGTGCTACTTCTCTGTGCATAAGCTGGGGCTCGGACGCCTCTTTCCCACTTGGAATGTGCCAAGGGAGGCACTGATGGACGGCTGCTCTCTGAGATCCTCGACTTCAGATACGGTTCATTATTTTTATTATATTTTTATTATTCATGTACAGAGACATAGAACAAATGTCTTCCCGTCCTGAACCGAGTCCTTCCCGTCCGGGTGTGCGGGGCGGCGGTGGCCGGGCCGGGTCGGGTCAGCCCGGGGCGGCCGGAGCGCGTCCAGGGTGGGGTGGGAAATCTATTTTGGACGTAAACACGAACAAAAGCAGTGTCGCCAAACCGTGTGTCCGTCGTGTCCTGAGCGCAGAATTTATTGCTTCTGCAGGCGGTCGGTCCCCTGGGTGGGCAGGAGGCCGGGACGGCGACCCTTCCTGCCTCGGGGGCGGTGGCAGGACACGCTCTCCCTTCCCACGCTCCTTTCCTCGCCTTGGGCACCACTTTGAACGAAGATCGCTGGTGGCAGAGATTCCTCCCGCCGCCTGACGGAGGAGCGGTGAGGGGCGCGGGGGTTGGTCGGGGGTCCCCCGGGGAGCAGCGGGGGGCTGTGGTGCCGGGCAGGGGCGAGTTCGGGGAGGAGCGCGGGGAGTCTGCTCCCTCCCCGGGCCCGGGACGGGGGGCGGCGCAGGGACCGCTCCCGCTGCGCTGCCAGCAGGCAGGACGGGGAAAGGAAGCGGCCGCGTCGCCGGGCAGGGACAGGGCTGGAGGAGCCCTCGGCGGGGCCGTGCCTGGCTCTGGCCGCTGCTCCGGGCCTGCCGGGACCGGAGGCAGCCGCGGGGAGCTGCCGGCGCCGGCCCGGCTGTGCGGGTCTGTGCAGCCCCGGGCGCGGGGTCGGGTCTGCAGCCGGCATCGCCTCTCCTGCGCCAGCCTGGCCGCTGGTTCGGTGCCGCACAGAGGTAATTTGCGGTAACTTATATCCGCTCTCCCTCCGGCTGCTCCGCCGGAGGGGCAGGGTAGACGGGTGGCTGCCGGTGCCTTTGCGCATCCGGCTCTAGAGCGTGGGGACCCGGGGGACTGGGGGTGCCTCTGACCTCCCTTAACGTCTCTGAAACTTGGTCAGGATGGAAAACCTCCCACCTGTCCTTCAGGGATCTCTGCCTGCTGAGGAAGGTACTGTCCCGGCTCCTCCGAGGTGGGGGCGCAGGGCTGTCAAGGGTGCACGGGGCTAGGCGCATAAGTTTTTTACTTTCCTATTTTTTTACAATTCCTGTCTTGTGACTTATTGAACACTTTCTTCAAGTGTTTTCTCTGGAAACTTGTCTCAAATGAGGGCTGTGAGCCCTAACAAAGAAGGGTGTTGTTCGACAGCCAACAGGTGATGGGGTGAAACCTGAGTATATGTGTACATTGGAGTAAAGTCTGGCTGCTGTTGAAAATAGAATTTTAAAAATCAATGGGAGGCTGTAAAAGGCAAGATTTCCTTCTTTCTAAATTTGTACACCCTCTTAAGGAGGGGGGGGAGCATCCATGAGAATACCTCTTTCTCGGCTGGAGGTTTGGGTCTTGCCTCACTGCAGTGTGATTGAGTTTCCATCAGGGATGTGCAGAGCCAAGGATAACACGACCGAATCAGATGTGTTGGCATGGGGCGATGCTTTGTTACAGGGCTTCCTTCTTTTGCTAAATGCAGGTAGCCTGCCTTTGCAGTATGGCTCGTCAAAAGAAAATACTCTGAAAAGGATCGTCTGACTTCCAGTTGGAAGAGTGATCTTTGTGCTAGGATGCTAGAGGAAGAAAGCAGTTAACTCCTCTGTTGGTCCTTGTATATTGGCTAACAAAAAGGAAAATAGTTCTTCTAGGGTCCATTTAGAGGTCTTTTGAATGAACAAGTGGTCTGCCTCTATTCCTTCTCGACTGCTCTGGGTAGTTCCTTCCTCAAAAGGACCTAGCAGCTGTGTGCTGATGCAGATTCGCCTTATCAGTTCTGGATCCGGATTTGCCACACAAGAGAGCTATAGAGCTCACTGTAGATGTGTTATTTGTACTGGAGTTAGGGATGAGACTTCCTCATCATGTGCGTAATGCATATTATAAATAGGCTTTGAATTATTAATAGTTATTTTATGGTGGTTTATTGCTGTTATATTGTGCTCTTCCTCTTCTAATGTAGTTATCTCGCACCAGAGATTAAATAAGCAGGTGAATGGGCTGACCATGCTAATCTTAGGTCGTTGAGCCTTCATTGTGAATGGATGCATGTGATATGCATCTTGTATCCCCTATAGCCTTGTTAACAAGCCTTCTAACAAAAAAGTTGTTAAAACAATTTGCCCTGCAGGACAGAGTAAAACAGCAGGGGGTGGGCAAGGAGATGTTTGTCTAACTTTGCTTACAAATCATGACCTTTTCTATCTGGTCAGGGGGAACATAATCAGTGAGCTGGAAATCCTAGCATGGGGATAACCTTCATATGGGCTTCAGCAACAGCTTTGTTCTAAGTTTGATATCCTAGTATTTTGTGTACCCATAGCTTTGTAATTAGGAGTGTAGTTTGTCTTTGCCTCTAAGGAATTTGTCATACGACTGCTTTAATTCATCAGTGGAAAAAACACAGTAACTACTTTTCTTTTCAAATCAAATTTAGCTGTGTAACTCAATTATGTTACTCATAGTTGTCAACCTGCCAGTGAAAAACCTCCTTGTAGGCTATAAAGCCTTTTTTGAGGGGCAGTATTTGAACAGAGCTGAAACCTCAATATGCTCCATGGACTTTAGGAAAGCAAAGCAAAGCAACACATCCTTGTCGTGTTTTGTAGGTGTCATGGCAGGAATAGAAAGACCACCTTTCTAGTCATCCCTTGGAAAGCACTTATTTTTTCAGCTGTTGTTTATATTCATTTGAATCCTCCTTAGGATGTAATCATTTTAAACAGATCACTTTGAAGAATGAGTGAGGCTGGGGGGCAGGGAGGAAGAACCCTGTAGTTTTAAAATGCAAACCAAATTGCACTTGAACAGGAGAGGAAGAAGAACTCCTAAACAAGCAATTGCTAAAATAGTTCTTCAGATAGCCTGTTGTTAAGATAGGCTAGATTAGAAACCTTGTTCTGAGCAACCCCACAGTATTTGTGATGTGGTGTATTGTCAATCATTTTATAGCCAGCTTCACATTCGCCCTATGGGAGCGTTTTTCTTTTAAAATGAATGTCCTTTGAGCTGTCCTAATCTCAGTTCATTGAGGTTTGTGGACCTTGCTTTGAACGTTTCTAATCACCTTATCTGGTGAGGAGAACCACGATTGTAAAGTTGCATTTTACATTTGGAGGTAAGATGTATTTTTCTTTTATTCTCTATCAGCCAAACTTTCAAACTGGCCTGTATGACTGGAAAGTGGGCCTGTGGGTCTGTGGTTTCCTCTTGTTGGAGCTGGTGTGTGTGCTGTCTGAAATAGATGTGTCAGAGGGGGCCCAGGCAGAACCAGTCTCTGCAGAAAAGCAGCCTTGTCTCTCTCTCACCAGTGCCTTGTCTTCCTTAGGAATTCGGCAACACTCCTACACTTAGGCACCTTTGCTGTGCTTAAGATCCTGACGTTGCCCTGTGCTGCTTTGTTCATTGTGGGAGTAGGATGTAGCCTTAGTGTTCAGACTACTCAGAAAAGTTAGTAAGTCATCATGCATTCAGATTTTGGGTTGTTTCGTTGTCTTTCAAGAGAAGTTGGAGAAGTTAATCTTGTATCTTGTGGAGAGAGGGTTTTGAACAATCAATATAAAGTAATTACTCAGTAACCTGGTGTGCTTGTAAGTGTTGGGTATTGTGAGAAAAGGCAGGAGTACACTCTGCACAAGTGCCCAGGCACTGCCAGAGCTGTTTCTCGCCTAAGTTATGTTTCAAATCTGCTTCCTGTGGGATATGGTTGAGGTCGTGCTGCCTAATGAAATATTGTCAAAGATGTTTAACCTACTGACTCCTTTTATTCCTGGGATATTGGGCAGGAGTCAGTTCTTGAAAAGGGACCATTTGTCCAATACAAGTTCTTGCAATGCCCTAAGAATTGGAAATACCTGCTTAGGTGTCAGTGAGCGACACATTATTGCAAACCAGGCATCTGCCCCTTTCTAAAAGGAATGATAAAATAGTTCATCTGCTGCTAAGGACATCTTGGAAGGAATTCAGCTTCTCAATGATACTCCTAGTGACTTTAAGAATTACTTGGATATAGATGATGTGTGATACAAGATGCCAAACTGAGCATCCCTATCCATCAGCAACAGTGAACACTTGTATTTTTTTCCTAGCGTGATTTCCTAACTGCATCACATTATTCCTCTGTCCCTCCTTCCTCGCACCTCAGTTTTATAAACAAAAACATACCTGATTCATGACTTTACTTCCACCAGTACGTGGGAAGGGGAAACAATTCTGTATTCCTTGTCTTACCATTTGTTTCTGAGTTCAACTAATTCAAGGGATACAGTATGTACCAGGCAGCCTGTCTTTCTATTTTGCATATATAGAATTGAGGTTTTAGGATTGAGTTTGGTTATACTTACCTTCTTTGAGAAAGATTGTAATATGGCAATGTTAAGCTCAGAAACTGTTGTGCTAACCTTTAGTTGTTCAACTTGATTAGGATTTCAGACATGTGCCTGACAGCTCACCAGCTTTCCAGAAATAGCCTGTTCTCAGAGGGGAAGTTAGCAGGTTTGCTTGCCCCATCAACTATTAAATTAATCTTCTACTACAGTGCAGCTGTGAAGCGTGCTGGCATCTTAGCGCAGTGCACCAAAAATAGTGTGTCTGTTTTTGAATCAGAAGTTTTTGAAGTAGAGTTAAACAACTTAATTTTTTGGAGCACTGGCCCAGTGGAAGAGTTAAGTAATCCCATCTCTTTTTAAGGGCTATGGGAATGTATAGACGTATTGAAAATAGGGCTAGATAAGGCTATATATTGGATATTATAATTTCTCTGAGTTTGTTGCTTTTGGATGCATACGGTCACTTTTTATGGAGCAAGTTTGGGTTTATGTGCTGAATTATCAGAACTGGGCACTAGCCAGTGTCTCATGCTTGAAGGAGAAACTCCTGTTGAGTAATCAGCAGAATATTTAGGTAAGCAGTCTTAAATCTTCTACCTTAAATCTTCATCCAGGGGGAACTTATTTTCTCTAAAATAGTGGTGATGAAACTGGAAATGTAACATATGACCCACCAGAAGTTTTTAGCTTGCTCTTCTAATTAGACCCACCAGCAAGGTTTATGTCAAAGAGATTAAAATTTTCTACAGCTTGGATGTAGCACTGACAAAATTGGATCTGTGTTTAGATAAACAGGATGAAAGAATGTCCTAAAACAGGGAAGGCACAGCTCATGTGTAACGTGGTACTGTAAAAGCAGGCTTGTCCCTACCTCAAGTGGTCAAGGTATCTGTTGTGTTAGAACAAATCCTCTGTGATTTTGATTATCTGTATTTCATTGAAATGCCTTGTATGAATTTCCTGAGAACTTCTGCTAGAATTAATACAAGACCTATATCTTCTTAATCTTTTTACTGCAGACTGCTATGGATCTTGGTGAGAGCCTTCTTTGCCAGTTATGACTCAAAACAATCCCACTGATATTAAGCTTTGCAGGCTTCATGAATCAACAAAATCATCTCCCTGTAGGGTTTTAAATTGACAGAACAATCATGATGTATTTTACAGAGACTAATCTGGCATAATTGGATTTCAGATATTTAACAGGACCAACGCCCTTCCGCTCCCATACAGCTCAACCAAATTTCTCAGAGGAATTCAGCAGATGCTTTCTGCTTGTGCCTGCCTTGTGAACAACAGGATGCTACTTGAACAACTGTCTTTCTCCAATAATTTCTTTAGCTTTTGACAAGTGTTTGTCACGTCTTTTGTTTCACTAGGTTAGTGGTAGTAATAACTTCAGGAAGAGCTTGTCATTCCTATTGTTAGTATCTGCTCAATGAGTCTTTCCTAGATTTACTTAAATATATATCCTGTGATGTGAAACAAGTAGAACTGTAAAAGGTGACAAGTGTTAGTACTGAAATACGTTGTCGTTGCCAGAAGTGGTAATCTGTGCCTAGGTTTCTGGGTTTTTTTTTCTTCAGTAGTTTCATTTTTATAACTTTTTTGAACACTTTTGAATTGCTTGTAGCAAGTTGTAACCAACCAACACTAATTTATTGTTCTGGGCAGCACAAAGAATACTAAACTGTTGTAAGATCATTTATACTGATAATTAGTTGTTCATGTTCAAGTCTATTAAAGCTCTATTAATCTTTTTCTCCAGATCACTGCTTGATGAGCTGCAGCTGAAATATTTAACACTTCACACTTATGCCATTGGAGATGGAGCCCAAAGCCAACAACCTCGTTTATGGGTGTCAGCGGAGCTCAACCTCTGACGATGACTCTGGCTGTGCCTTGGAGGAATATGCCTGGGTCCCCCCAGGCCTCAGACCAGAGCAGGTAGCAACCATCTTTCTGCATTTTAAAAATAAGCCTTGTAAGGACTGTCTGAGGGAGTGATCTGATGCCTCTGTAAGTCTAATTAAATTCTTATAATGTATAAAACTTTAATTCATGGAGAACTTTTCACTTCTTTTTTGTTTCCTGTCCAATGAGGCTGTGTGTAGGGAGCTTAAAGCTCTCAACCCTGAGGAATTTTATGTGCCAAAAAAGTTCCTGGTCAAGGTTTTTTAAAAAGTATGTGCTGCAGAGGTATATATTGCCAAGTAAAAGCAGCATAGAAGTTTGCTTTTTTTTTGGAAAGAAGTTATTAGGTTAAGTTAAAGCTCATGGCATACCTCATGACATTGTGCTCCCTGGCCAAGTATTTGATTGCACTTGTATGACTCTTTAAATAATTAGGCGTTTGACATTTAGAACATGGATGGTTCAGCAGTGCATATAAACCAAAGCGTTCAGTCATTGTGACAGGTAATAATGTATTTTACGCTTGTTTAAATAGTTGTATGGCTGCCATTTGTTCATGGCAGGATTTCTCTTGTCGGTGTCTGGAGCTGACACTTGTAGGTTGGTTGGGCTGTCCTTTCCCCTCTCTTCAGTCCCCCTTTTTTTGTGTAACATCACATGGCAATGGGAATGGAATAAAAGTTAAATTATTGATGACCAAGTTGCTATAGGAATTGCAGAATGAACTGCTTATGGTATTCGTTCATGGTGTTTATGGTATTGCAACTGCGCTGAAGCTGTGTACTCAGTAATATTCAGAACTAAAGACTTCAGTGTTAAATGGCCAGGATGGCTTTGCAACATCTCCTAAAGGAGGCAGAGCAATCCCGGCAAGCTTATACAGTCCATAGTTTAAAAGAGTGCAGATGTCTCTTTTTTTGCAATGCAGAGATTTTCTTAATCATGAATAAAGTAACAAGTCAGTAGGAATGGCAATTAACAGGCTATTTTTAGGGCAACTCTTTTTTATCACTTACTTAAGTATCTGTAAGAATCCTGATGAATCAGACCTTAAGGCAAACGATGAGCTAACATTCTGCCAGAACAATTAAATGCCCTAAAATATCCTCATAATCCCAGCTAGCCCAAACTCAATAAAGATGGGAGGGTTTTTTCCCCCAGGATTGCTTATTTTCAGAACAGTGCAATAAGCTTGAGAAAAGGACATAAACTATTTTTAAAACTTCACTTCTTGCTGCATGTTATCTTTTTCTGGAGCATCCTGAAATATAGTCAGTAGCAAGTGGGCTTACAGTAGACTTCATTTCTTTAAATTTTGGTTAAATGAAGACCAAGTCATGTTTTGTACAACCTGTCTCACAATTTCGATTGCTTCCTGACTTAAATGACTGATTAATGCCTTTTTTTCATCTGTCTTGCACAGTAATAAGCTGTTGACCTGAGCATTATTTAAATCTGTATGGCAAGTAATATTTTTGCCAATAGTCAGCTCTTACAGCCCCAGGCCTCGTGACAAGCTGGAAACTGCATAGGAAAAACAATAAATCTGTAGCTGTTCCACAAAAATATTTTTTGCCATTGGGCTTTGTTGTAGTGTTCATTACAGCTTTCCTGTCATAATATTCTTCTGAAGAAAAAAAAAAAAAGAGTGAAGACTGATACAAAAACATTCATCCCATGGAAATTTCCTGGTTAATTTGCATCTGATTGAAATGTGACTGGATCCAGCCTTCTCCCAAGGGAAGGATGTTTCCACCTTCTTACCAAAGCCCACATGGAAGCAATGAAAGCTGATGCTTCGGGTGAACCTGATCAGCAGGAGACTACAAAACAGCTTTTGTCTCAACAATGTGTAAAATGCAGAGAGCAAATTAAAGTTGTTTATATAGTGGCTGTTTTCTGGAAAGCTTCATGCCTTGTGTGGTAAATTGCAGAGGGAAACTTAGAATTTCCATGGAGTTGTTGACCAGCCCTGAAGGGGGTGGGAATAATGAGAACATTAAATGTGCATAATTTATGATACCCCCCCTAATTGTAGCTGCAAATTGCATTCCAGAAAAGCAATTCAGCATCTGGGTGCTAGTTTTATCAGAGAATTCAGGTTTGCTGAGCTGGTTCATCTGGGTCTTGTATTTTCAGCACAAACCCTGTCACAGTCTAATGTAGCGTGACCTCTTCTTCCTTTGTAAATGAGACCTGAGATAAAACAGTAGCCAAAGGACACTGGCAGTGCTTGGGGCCTGGGTGTCCTGGGTCTGAATTCTGCATTTCTCTTGGTCAGGTCCAGCTGTATTTTGCCTGCTTGCCAGAGGAGAAGGTCCCTTACGTTAACAGCCCTGGAGAGAAACACCGGATTAAACAACTTCTCTACCAGCTGCCACCCCACGATAACGAGGTAAATACAGAATTTAGGATGAACCGTCAGGGCTTGGGTCTCCCTGGTAGCTTTTCCGTGGAGAATTACCTGCCTGTGTATTTATTACAAGCCCAAACCATGGCCTGCAGTGGCATCTGAGCTATAAAGCAGCACGGTGTGTACACTGAGTCCATTGTTCAGCTGTCCACTTGGCTTGTGTGCAGATAAGAGCTGTCTGGAAGGACACTGCCTTTGCTTGTTAGGGAGGCTGGTGTCACTGCAATAAACTTAACACAAGTTAGTTTTATAGTGTTTGCAGCCACCCACCAATTACCAGGAACCTACAAATTCCTGGAATTGCATTGTGGTGCACAAAAAGGATGCTTTGTGATAGTAAAAGGCTTGCATCTCAGTTATGCGGTGTAATTTAGAGTAGAAGTGGAAATAACAAACAAGCTCTTTGTAAGGAAAGGGGCGGGGGTGTCAGTACTTAAGGTCTTGTGTATACTGCAACACTTAGTCGTGGGCACTTAACCATAAATCTAAAGGACAATGTTATGGCTGGTTTAGGTTCATTCCGTTATTTTAGGTTAGCAGCAGATTATGAGTTAGCTTCTAAAAATCTTGCCTAAACAACTCCTCAGTTTAGCATGGTGGGTTTTTCCTGTAATGAAAAAAAATCTCTCTCCATACATTTTTGCGTTATGCCTTATTACCTAAATATTAAGATGGCAGAGAAGGCAAGCAGGAAAAGTTTAATGATGATTGGCAGCATGCCTGATAAATTCCGTATATGCACTTAGTTACTCATCTGTTACATTAAAAGCTCAGTCTCTAATATAAGTTCTCCTGTGTTTTCTCACTGGAAGGTGAGATACTGCCAGTCGTTAAGTGAAGAGGAAAAGAAGGAGCTGCAGATGTTCAGTTCTCAGCGCAAAAAGGAGGCACTGGGACGAGGCACGATTAAACTCCTCTCCAGAGCAGTGATGCACGCTGTTTGTGAGCAGGTAACACGCTGGTGCCATAAGCCAGCTACAGGGCTGAATTATGTACAACTACAGTATCTCTATATTAATATTTAAACTTACCTCTGTCTGTGTCTGAAACAACAACAAAAGATTATTTTTGAAACTGCATGGAGGAAGAAAGTAAGTAGTGCTTGCTTAAGCAAAATGTAACCTTTGATATTACTGGGAATGAGCTGAGTCTTTGATGTATTCCCTACTCAATAAAAAAACCCTAATGCTGACTCATACTAAAGTAATGACAAATAGAAAGCAGACATACTTTAAAATGTTATTTTGTAGAAAATAAACTTATATTCACAGAAGGTTCACTGAGATGCAGTTCATCTAGACCAAAACTGATCATATCTTTTTCCTCTTGTCAGAATTTTGGAATAAAATCTCATATTTGGTTTGGTATTTTAACTTAGAATAAGCTACTAGTTTTGGATGGGAAGTGTATTCACTATCTGGGTTTGTTCCTAGTGTGGTACAAAAGTAAATGGCGGTGAAGTTGCAGTTTTTGCCTCAAGAGCTGGGCCTGGTGTGTGCTGGCATCCCTCCTGTTTTGTGTGCTTCACATGCAACGAGCTTCTTGTTGACCTTATCTACTTCTACCAAGATGGAAAAATTCACTGTGGCAGACACCACGCTGAACTTCTCAAACCTCGATGTTCAGCCTGTGATGAGGTAAATAATTAATATTTTACAGCCAAGCTACAAGTCCTGTTGTTCTGTTGACAAACTGCATCATTTTGGAAATTCCTGTCTCCAGTCCTAACTCAACTAGGAAGTCAGGACTCTGCTGCATAGATGTGTTGGAAAACTGAGAGATATTTAATTTCTTGTCAAACTGGAAATATTACAAGCAATAAGATGGTATTTAGAAAGCAAACACCTGTTTGTGTTTAAAAATTAACATTCTCGAATATTACAAAATACTATCCTTATAGAAGCTTCCTTAAAGCTTGAGTTCCTAGGTTCCTTTATTTTTTGGCTTTAAAATGTACTGTTTTTCTTTATTTTTGTTGTGGGAGATTGTTGTTTCTATCTTTGTATTCAAAAGGGAGCAAAATAAAAATAAATTTTGGATGTGAACTGCAGAGTTAGGATATTTTTTATGCACTAACTCCCAACGTGAGATTTTTGCCACTTAACTAAAAGTATCCCTTTTATCTCTGAAAAGATAATTTTTGCTGATGAATGTACAGAAGCTGAAGGTCGCCACTGGCACATGAAGCACTTCTGTTGCCTCGAGTGTGAAACAATCCTGGGTGGACAGAGGTACATCATGAAGGACGGGCGGCCGTTCTGCTGTAACTGCTTTGAATCTCTCTATGCAGAATACTGTGAGACCTGTGGGGAACACATTGGTAAGTGTGTCCTTTTCAAGCATTAAACTTACAGATTAAGGGAAAACCAAATGATGAAATGATTTCACATTTCAGAAGTATGAATTCTGCAAGTAATTTTTTAGAGAGATCCAGAGCGTTGCTTTTTCTGTCTTCCCAGGTGTTGACCATGCTCAGATGACCTATGATGGACAGCACTGGCATGCCACAGAAACTTGCTTTTCTTGTGCTCAGTGCAAGACCTCTTTGCTTGGCTGCCCATTCCTTCCAAAGCAAGGGCAGATTTACTGTTCAAAGACCTGCAGTCTGGGAGAGGATGTTCACGCCTCCGACTCTTCTGATTCTGCATTTCAGTCTGCTCGATCAAGAGATTCCAGGAGGAGTGTCCGTATGGGAAAAAGCAGCCGGTCAGCTGACCAGTGCCGCCAGTCTCTCCTCCTGTCACCAGCCCTCAATTACAAATTTCCTGGCCTTTCAGACAATGCTGATGATACTCTCTCTCGTAAGCTGGATGATTTAAGCCTTTCAAGGGAAGAGGCGGGCTTTGTTAATGAAGACTTCTGGAAAGGAAGAGTAGAGCAAGAAATGCCTGAAGACCCTGAAGAATGGGCTGAACATGAAGACTACATGACTCAACTTCTTCTGAAGTTTGGTGATAAAAGCCTCTTCCAGCAACCCACTGAAGTAGACATTAGATCAAGTGAACATTGGATTTCTGATAGCATGGTCAAGAGCAAGTTGGACTTGAAAAAAAATAATCCAAGCTTAGCAAGTAAGAAGTATCAATCAGACATGTACTGGGCCCAGTCACAAGATGGTTTGGGAGACTCTGCATATGGCAGCCACCCAGGCCCTGCCAGCAGCAGGAAAATCCAGGAGCTAGACTTGGAACATGGGGCCTCAGGATACAAACATGACCAAACACCATGGTATGGAGGTTCACTTGAATGTTTGTCTGACCTGAAACAGCAAGAACAAAGTGTTCGAGACTCAATGGATTCCTTGGCTTTGTCTAACATAACAGGTAATGGGGAAATAAATGAATGGCTTTGATGGAGAGGTCAGCAAAAGCATGTGCATTGGAGTATTTTGAAGGAAAATTTTTCATTTCAGTGATTTCTAAAAAGCTTTAGTATCAAGAGATGCATGTAAAGTAGGCAGCAGCTTTTATCAAGCACATAATCCTTTGCAGGGTATGTTTCTGCTACTTAAATCCTATTAGATTCTTCTCCTTTGCTTTTGAATTCTGAACACAAACCACTGCTTTAAGCAAATTACTATTTTTCCATACCTTATGTATAAGAAGTTGCATTATATATTAGGATGATATTAAAGATAATCTACAAAACACTTCAGATAACTTCCTGATATGCTTGTAAAAATATGTAGGAAATCTGAAAGGATGGTAGCCTTCTTAGCCTTAGGCAATTAGGTTTATGAGGTTATTTTTCCCCCTTGACTAAAGGGAAACTGATAATCCACTTTTGTGAACCTCCTCATCAAACATGACTGAAATTACCCAAAGGGATAAAGCGTGTGCTAACCTTCCTTTCTTATTTCTGCACAAAAAGCCCAAACCTGGCAGTTAAGACCCATTTCAAAAGTTGTCCAATCCTCGTCTCCTTTCCGTTCCTCGTGTAACCCCAATTACTGCAGCTGCCTGCCTAGGTGAGGCCCTGGCCAAGCAGCAGTGAAGGAGCTGAGGAGGGGAGCTTGGTTCAGGGGGCATGGGAGGAGGGGGCACTGCAGGTACTGCACCTGGGACCATCACAGCACACGTGACACTGTTGTTGTGGGAATGAAGGGTCAGTGGACACAAAGGTAGAGGACAGCAGGCCAGCTTCCTTTTGATCACTTTTTGAGAGTAAGGATCCTTCTTTGCAAGGCGGTAAGCTCAGCTTCCCTGCTGCAACAGCTGGAACATGAATTTGGCAGTAGTAGAAATGTGAAATATTTCAGCCTTAAGAATGGCAAGCACAGACTGCAGAAAAATTTTAAGTAATCCTTTTTTCTTAAAAGGCATACCTGTATGTATGTTTCAAAATTTTCGACCCATTGAACTTCTGCTCGTGATGTCCTCATGATGGCTAATTCTTTGGTCATCAGAGCTAATACTTAAATGTATTAAGTCAAAACAAAGCTTATTCTACTATGAAGGGAGTCTTTTTTGGTAATAGTTAAAAAAACACTTGATGACAAGAAATGTTTCATATTTTATTATAATACTTTTCTCTTTGGTATTCCGCTCATTTTCTTTTTCCTCCTTTCTCCATTCCCACCACAGGGGCTTCAATGGATGGAGAAGGCAAGCCACGGCCATCTCTCTACTCTTTGCAAACTTTCCAAGAACTAGAGGTGGAGGACTGTGAGAAGATGAGCAACATGGGAACTCTGAATTCTTCAATGCTCCATCGGAGCACTGAGTCCTTGAAGAGTCTGAGCTCAGAGTTGTGTCAGGAAAAAGTGTTGCCAGAGGAAAAGCCAGTGCATGTGCCTGTACTGAGACGATCTAAATCCCAGTCTAGACCACAGCAAGTGAAGTTTTCAGATGATGTTATTGATAATGGAAGTTATGAGAATCTTGAAATACGTCAGCCCCCAATGAGTGAAAGGACTCGTAGGCGTGTTTACCATTTCGAAGAGCGTGGAAATCGGCCTCACCATCGCAGAAGAAGCAGGAAGTCTCGTTCAGATAACGCACTTAATCTGGCCACAGAAAGAAGATGCTCTCCAAGAGATAGATTTCGTTATTATTCCCCTCAGGATCATGAAAAATTTATTCAGAATAGAAGCTCACGTGAGCTTCGGGCCTATATTCAAAACGCGGAGCTGTATGGACCATATGCCCATACCAGGTCTGACTATGCACTGCGGAATCAGGTGGTTGATAAGTTTTTTGGATTGTATGGTGAGGAAGATGACTCCTGGTGTTCAACTTCATCCTCATCATCTGATTCTGAAGAGGAAGGATATTTTCTAGGACAGCCAATTCCACAGCCACGGTCACTGAGATACCCATACTATACAGATGATCTTTCTGGTCCAACTACTGCATTATCTAGTTCTCAGTTTGGACAGAGGACAACCAAATCAAAGAAGAAGAGGGGACACAAAGGAAAAAATTGTATTATATCTTAATTAATTACTAGTATTTCTTAATTGGGAGGACCAGTCAATTCTGTAGCTACAGTTTGAACCACATCTTTTTATATTAATAACTGTACTTAGGCAAGTTGCTAAAGTTCATAATGCTTTGACTGTAAATGATAACCGTGCCAGAGTTTACATTGCAAAAGTAACATTCAGAAATGTCACCACGCCAAATGATCTACTCAGATACTGCTAGGTTTACATACTATGTTTCAGCTGTCAAAATACTGTTACTGCAGTTCCTAATACAGACTTTTTGTAGACATTTTATTTGATGCTCACTATACACCTACGCTGAATTATCTGAGAGAGGATTCAACAAAGATGAATAAATAAAAATACCAGTCCTGTGCTTTAGCTATAGACACACAGGGTGATCTTTGAGTTCTTCCTCTTGCTGCCAAGAAAAAGAAGGCTCTATACTGTGCCCTTTCTTCATTGATAAAGCTCACTCTTCCTCATTCAGGTTTCCATACAAAAACTGGATTCTTTCATTTGGGAAAATGCTCCTTAAGAAAGCAAAAATCATAATGTGGGAGCTGAAATGCTTAAAGCCTTGATGTATCCTAAAGCAGCAGTGAATGTTTTGTACATTTAACTTCCATGGTTTTTCCTCTACAATTTTTTTGAGAACGTGTGAGGTGATTGGTTTTGGTTTGGGTTTTTTTCATGCCTGTTTAAAGGAAGATATTAATTCAGCTTCTGGAACTGGATTTACCAATGAGTGGTGATGTTTTTTCTGCCATGCCCCCCACACCTCAGCAGCAAGAGAGGTACAACTGCTGGAGCTCATTGCTCAGGCATGTAACCCCATTTAAGTCAGTGGCTCTACTTACGTAACAAATATTTTCATATGGGCTTAAAGGATTAGGCTCCAGAATTGTGTCTTTTCACATGCATTATCCAGGTTTTAAAATGTATTAGCTGCAATTCTAAGACAAAAAAATATTGATATTTATAATGTAGTATTTCATAGGCTTAAATGTATTCATAATTTAACAGTGCAAATACTAATGTACATATTGTACAGTTAAAATTTTAAAATCTGAGTATTTTTATATCCCTGAATTTGAAGAAGTTTGTTACAATATCAAACTAGATTTGTTAGGGGTTTAACAGCAGTGTTATGAATGAAATATTGCTTGTATTTTAGTCAGGGGGTTTAAGTTGAAAAATGTTCAGTGCAAAACAGCTTAATTTTGTCTACTAGGTATTAAAAGCTCTATATGCATGGTGGGGCTATGTAAATAATCTCTCTGGCCCTCTTAATCTTGCAAGTATAATTTATGGGTCAAGCAAAATGTAAACTAAATATAAATGTAAAAACCACACAAGCTTGGAATATATCATTACAACCAGTATGCAACTCCTGTGGATGTGGATTTTTTTTATTATTGTTCTCCCTTCTTCCCCAAAAATAATTTCTGAAGTTTGCTTACCTAAAGGAAGAGAGATACTGAGTGGTTCTAGAAGTCAAGCTGGCAAAAACTGTAAAGCAGGAGGTAATCACAGTAGTTGCCTTGAACTCAGATATGGAGCAGGAGCTATTTTAAGTTGTAATAAACTTCCACTGTTTAAGTAAACGGCAGGAATTTCTTACCAGTGATATCCACTAATGATGATGGTAAATGTTAAAGCCATTGGCTTTCTGATCACCTGAAGAAAGGAAACTAATGAAATAATAGATGCTTCTTACCTAAAAGCCTGTCAAATGGAACTAAGCTTGCCCTTCTTGAGGATAGAGCAGCTATGGAAACAAAAGCAGCTAGAAGTAAGGGAGGGAATGAACACAAGCACTGGTTTACACCAAAGAAAATTAGGCTATTGCTAAGGGTAATCAGACTAGCAGTTACTTGAATTTTTCAGGGTAAAATGAGCAGCAGATCCTTTTCTCCCAGAGGTGGTTTCACCCTACAGGTCACTTTGCTCGTACCCATAGGTCTTGTGGAGATGAAAGCTGATCAAATCCATGCCTGGTCCTCATGGGGTGCTTCCATCTGGCTGCTGCAGGGCTCAGGCAGCCGTGTGCCTGCTGGGCTCAAGTATGTTACAGCCACCAGACTGGTGGGGCTTATGGGGCTGCAGATGCTGAGTTGTTCATAACCTTCCCCAGGATGCTCCAACAATGATTAGGAGCGTCCATTCTCACCTGCATTTCCAAAACCAGGATCCTCAGAAACAAAATGTTATGCCAGTAACTCTGTGTCCCGTGTTGGACCAAGTAACTGTCTCATGGAGAAATGTCGCCACAAGTGGTTCTGATGCTACACCATCTCCTGAGATGCAGCAGATGTACTCTCCCAAACTGCAGGACCTTATGGAATATTACAGTTCTAGATTGTTAATTTTTTTTTAAAGTTTAAAGATTACTATACAACTTTATTTTCCTTCAGCTTGACATAAACAATATTGTACTATTTTTGACAGCTTCTTATGAGAAATATTTCTAATTTCTAGTATTTCTCCACCTTGAAGAGAATCGTAGTATGGGATATAGTGTCTGTGACCAGCACAAGGCTCAGATACAGTCACAAAAGTGCTAAAGTGTGGTTTGTGTTATTGGAAGTAGCACCTATATTCCTAGTGGAGCATATACCCTGGTGGGCACCTAACCCTGACACAGCTGCTTACTCACTATTCCCCAGTGAGATGGGGGAGACAATAAAAATATGAAAAATAAAATAACTTACTGGCTGAGTTAGACCATTTAATAGATAAAAACAAGCAAAAAACCCCAAACAGAAACCCCTGAAGTGATACCAAAAAACCCCCTAGCTCAGCACTAGCCAATTAATACCCAGCCTGTCCTTGAACAGCAGCAGTCCTGGAAAACTCCTTGCCCCCATCCCTAGTTTTAGATGCCCCTATCACCTGTGGTCAGCTGGGGTCAGCTGTCCTATGTTCCCTCCCAACATCCCGTGTACTGCCAGCCTCCTCACTGGTGGGGTGGGCTGAGAGACAGAAGAAGCCTTGACCTCTGGGTAAGCTCTGCTCAGCAACAACTGAAACATCCCAGTGTTATCACCATGTTTCCAGGAAAAACCTGAAGCACAAGCACCACTGCACCAGCCACTATGAAGAACATTTAAGTCCATCCCAGCCACACCCAGTACAATCTTCATGACAGTAAAAAGTACTAAGGCAAAACTTTATCCTCATCAAAATTGAAAATCCTTGCAGACGAGAGAGTGACAAGGGTTTGGTCCTTCTCTGATACCTGGCATTCCCTTCTTTCATATCAGTAGTGGTTTTGTTGATGATTTTCACCTTTACTGCTTACATTGTCACTCAGAGCTGCCAACTTGCCCAAGTGAGATTACAGACATAACCACTTCAGTCTCGGCAGACAGCACTGAATTTCCACCTTCTTTTTAATTTTTAAGGGTATCTGCAACATTAACAAGTGCTAGGAGTAATTTCTGTTTTCAGGAGCTCTGAAGGTGACAAATTAAATTTGTCCAGCACAGCACGTTTCCTTTCCCCAGTGCTCTTCCAGAGCCTCACTGAGGCCCACTAGACCAATTTTTTTTACACGATGTGAAACTAATCCAAAATACATACTTGTAAAGCAAGCAAGACTAAAAGCCGTGTTTCTTCCTTAAGTTAAGGAACTGCCATAGTATATTTTACTTTTATCAGCTGAAAGCATATATCAGAAAAGGTTAAATGCAAACATTCAACACAATGCCAAATATTAGATGGAAAATCAATTACTTATCACTTAAAATGTGAATTAAACTTGTCACAGAAATAGCACTTATAAAAACTCAAAAGACTCCCTAGTTCACAAGTAAAGTTTAATCAATGAAAAAAAAGATTAAATAAATGATTAGGCATAGTGAACGGGGTTACCTCAGGCTGGCAGCTGGTCACCAGTGGGATTCCACGGGGCTTAATTTTAAGGCCAGTGCTCGTTAATGGAGAGACATTTGCTGACGGTACTAAATTGAGAGGAGCTGTGAACTCCCTCAAGAGTAGAGAAGTCCTGCAGAGAGACCTGAACAGACTAAGGACCTGGGGGACAATGACCAGCTGCATGGAGTTTAACAAGGACAAGTGCCAGATTCTCCACCTGGGACAGGACAGTCCTGATTATCCTAAAACTTGGGGAATGAGGAGTTGGATATCAGCCCTGCAGAAAGAAAGTTGGGGGTCCCAGGTGATAGCAAATTATACAGGAATCAGCAATGCCCTGGCAGCCAGGAGGGCCACTCCTGTCCTGTAGGGCATCAGGTGCAGCATCACCAGCTGGGCAAGGGAGGGGATTGTCCCACTCTGCTCTGCACTGAGAGGCCTCACCTCGAGTGCTGGGGGCAGTTTTGGGTGCCACAATATAAGGATATAAATCTACTTGTGTGCCCAGAGTATGGTGATCAAGGTGGTGAAAGGAGGAACCTGGATGAAACTGAGGAGTGACCTCACTGCATTCTACAGCTTCCTCAAAGTGGGCAGCAGAGGGGCAGGCAATGAATTCTCTTGTGACGCGGACTCAAGGAAATGGAATGAAGCTGCATTGGGGAAGTTCAGATTGGACTTGAGAAGGTGGTTAGTCATTGGAACAGGCTCCCTAGGGAAGTGATAGAGCCCCAAGCCTGCCAGAGAAGCTTCCAGTGGTTCCAGGAGGAGCAGGGAGTTGGGCTCAAGCAACACTGCAGGTCCCTTCCAACTTGAGATATTCTATGATATTCTATGTAAACTTAGGTCTTACTTTACAGAAAAGCACTTGAAAACTTGGATACTTTTATAATAGTAAACTTAATCAGGCTTCTAATAAAGGAAACTCCAAACAAATTGTACAGTAACAACGGAGATTTTTAATAAAAAATATATTACACACAATTTTATTATTTTTCCATTAGCATTTCTAACCCAAAGTAGAAGCTCCGATGTAACATCCTGAAGGCTCTCAGTCCTGTAGGCAAGTAGTGAAATGTTGTAGTTATGCTTCTGCATCTCAGAAGACTTTGATCTCAGTAAAGCAGGTTGTTGCCAGAAGGGGTGGGCCATGTCTCACTACTATGTTAACAGCTTGCCTCTCTTCCCCTCTCTCCCAACCCAAATTAGTATCCTGTAGGATCCATGAGCTGATTCCCACTCACTGTGCAGCCCACACAATCTCAGGTGCTAACAAGGGTAGTTGCAGGTCATCTCCCTGGAGTAATGTGAACTCTTGGAAAACAAGAAAAGCTAACTGCAAAACTCCCCTTACTGACATGAGGGGGGTCATGTCATTAACCAGGCATCTCAGGAATCTGATGCAATACATATTTAATATACCATATCAAGATCTGCATGTGTAAGATGCTGTAATACATACAGTACCTTGTACATGCAAAATCATTGCTACTGCATTTGTGTTTCTGCACACCATTCTGATGAAATCTGGAAATAGTGAGCTTAGTTATAAGTCCTTTTACACAGTTTCCCACATTCTAGATGCAAATGTATACAAAACGATCATGCTTATATGTACCTCTTTACGATTATGACTCAAATTATCCCTTTCCTAAAATGTTCATATAAAACCAGTACCTCAATAAATGTATTCATCAGAATTCCAGTGAATCCTAAATATTTTTCACTGGGAACCTCTTGGCTTTCCTCGACCACTGTTCCCAAGTTGTTCTATCAGGTAAAATGTGGTGCCAGACACTAACCAGAATCACCTAGGTTTGAAATGATAATGAATTTGAAGACTTAGGGATAAACTTTGTATTATACCTAATCCAAAGCAACCTGGTTTTACTGGAGAGATGGTCCTGCTCACTTTCCTTGCTCATCCTTGACACCCCAATTCCTGCTCCTTTTTGAAACTGGAAATAAAGATTACACACAGCCTCCTTATTGTTAAAACTGATGGATGAAAATGCTTGAGAAGTTGTAAAGTGGAGAGAAGGACAGAGTAGAAAAAGCAACCTTTCCCTGCTCAGTGGCTGCCTACAGCTACATTCTGTACAGTGTAGTCAAAAACAGGGCAAACACTACCAAAAAATTGAATCCATCCTACATAATAATACTGTGTACTAGTAATGTGTCATGATATGGAAAACACCAACATTTTAAAGGCATTTGTAAAACCTGCAATTAGAATAAAAATACAACACTTCTTACATCAAGTGGTCAATTGCTCTGGCAGGTAGAGATTAGAGATAACCCCTAATGTAATTTTACAAATTAATCTGAATTTTTAAATTAAACCAGAATAAATAATTTAAATCATAATTGTGACCAATTTTGCAAGTTTTCTCTTCCTGCAGTACGTATGATAATAAGACATATTTGTGCATAACATGAGGAATGAGAGTGGCTTCATGGAATTTTAATAAAAAAGACAATGTTTCAAGTTACACTTATAAGCATCAAAACGTAAGTGTACAGACATCAGACTGACCATTTTTTCCAAAGTAACTGTGTAAGGTTTCAAAAACAGCTCATTGCTTTACAGCATTTTTGAAAAGAACATCCTTTCAAAGGAATATATGTCAACAAGAACAGGTAGGATGAATACAATTGTGGAGACCACAGAGGACAAGGAACAGCCACCTGAGCTATTTTATAAAGGAGCAGAGGCCTTGGGTTCAAACCTTGAACAAGAGCTCCTCTTTCCCCACAAAAAGCAGATTTATGTACTATGCCAGACACAATGCAGGGGATCTAAAAGCATATTTTTGTCCTTAGTATGTGCCCTCTTTGAAGGACTCTGAAACATCTTGGTTGGCAGCATCGTACTGAGCAATGAAATGTTTGAGTTCTTCAATGCATCGCTCACCTATTTCATGCAAATTCTGCCGCAGGGCAAACTGAATGGACTTCTCTAATGATGGATCTTTATCAATGAGCATCTTCACTACCATGCCAAAGGTTTCACAGTCTTGTCTGTAGACCTAGAAACAACACATTTTAGAAAATTAATAAATGCAAAATTCTTTACATTAGCACACCAACAGCCCTTATGGAGTTAGATCCAAATGTAACAAAGGATATTGGATTTAACACGAGTTTCAGCTGTAAAACTTACTGGCCATTTCCTCTCTTCTGACCTGTGCTAATAAAAATATAACTAGCTCAGCACTATCTGGATACAAAAAAAAACTTTCATGGGATGAAATACCATAATAGAGAAATGAAGTTTCCGTTGCAGCAATATTTAATAAGTAATAGTAGAGCAAAGTACAAATGCTAAACCAGATTTTCTTTTTGTTTCAATATATTTAAAATTAAACTGTGAAATGCCTAGCAATCTCAATCTTCATACAAAGTATCAATTTTTCAAATACTTTATATACAAGTTGTGTTTAAATAATTTCATCAAATTTTGTTTGTTTGTTGGATATCTGTTTCTTGTAGAAGTCCTTGAAAATTATTACTTTAATTAGTTTGGATGCATTGGTGATTCAATCACTAAGGATTAAAGAAGTCCTGGCAGTGGTTTACCTGAACCCATCTGACCTTCTCCCACAAAGAATGAAGAGTTTGCAAGTCAGTCACGCACCACATTTGAGATGAAGTTAAGTTTTCATCATCACTGCAACTGTTTTTCAGCAACAAACATATGGACCATGCTCTTATGCAGTTTTCAAAGCAAGTCAGTGACATTTAAATTTTTTTCCCAGATTCCAGCTAAGTTTATTAATCTGAACACCCAGCAAAAAAGGAACTTCTCAAAGTCTTCCAACTGCCAGATGCAGCTCATTTTCAAAGCTCTTAGGCCAATTTCCCTTTAGAAAATACATTAAGCTTTTTGACTGAAGATAAATAAGTTTTCTATCTCCATACATCTTTTTTTGAGGAAAGAAAGGTAAAAAGGTGATATTCTTCCAATTATAATTATCTTTTGGTATTGTCTGCTTGTCTTAGAACTTGTTTTTTACAGGGATGTGTAACCCTTTCCTTTCACATTTATCTGTATTGTCGACAGAAACGATACAACTGCATGTAACAATTCCCCTTTACTAAAAACAAAAGGAAAAAAAAACAAACAAAACACACCCATCCTTCTCCCAGTGAAAACCTACCTAAGAACCCATTCATAAGAACCAGTTCGAGGTCAGCTCAAGCATCTTCATGTCAGAAAAAACAGCAGAAAACTGCAACATTCTGTTCAAAACTAAACTATTCTTAGAAACACAATGATTATCATGATACTTTAATGAAGACAATTCTCAAATGCTTAATAGCATAGTCTAGGAAAACAGTTTACAACAGACCCACTTTTCAAATACTGGTTGGCAAATAAAAGAGAACTTTTTGGAAGGAACTAATCTTCAGTGGAGAGTAACAAGTCAAAAAGAAGAGTGTAGCTCAAACAGAGCTCGAGCTAAACATTTTTAAGTGTGGAAATGCACATGGCATTTTTTCAGAGACAAGTTTGTTTCCTGCTTTGTAGTTCTTTGGTAGTAAATAACAGCACAAAACCCAGACTCTGAGCTCGTGCTCCACAGCAAGTAAAACATGGTAAAAGAACTTCAAACAGAGAAAATCTGCATTACTTTTTTCTCTCTTCCTAATGAAAAACTCAAAGAGCTGCATGGGGTGCCAAGGCTACAACTGAAGGAAATGCTCTACTTTTCACAGGCCTGCAAACTAATGGCAGACCTAATGCCATTAGGCAAACTAATGCTACCTGCTACTTCTCCCACACACCACAAAGAATTAACCCCAGATTAAACTGTCTGACTCTTACCATTTACATACTAGCTTGATCTAAGCACATTTTTCTTCCAAACTTTCACAAAAGACTTGGAGGAGAATCAAGAGAGCCCTTGTCATTGCTGAATCTGAAGTCAGAAGTCACTTTGCTGTCACAACAATCTGGAAACTAAACACCTTCATCCAAGAGATGAACGTTTTCAACACTTTGTAACAGAAGACTTTAAAAAAATAGAATTTATTTAAATTAGGGGAAGAGGGCAAAGATGGAGCAGGAGGGCACTTTTAATAACAAAAAAAGGAAACAGCTCAGGTCCTCTAACAATAATTGAGCAATTTTCTCTCAACAAGCTTTCTGCCCCAGCTGCTAATTCTGATCCTCCTGGTACAATCTGCCTCCTTCACAATTGTGCTGATAAATCTATTTGTATAGCTGCAATGTAAATTGCATCACTGAGGTGCTCCCTTTTAAAATTACTTCCCCCCAATTAATGTGATTCAGTGATTCAGTTCTAAAACCAGATGTATCAGCACAACTGAAAGAACTGTGAGCCATGGTCTTAAAGTGAAAACTTCACAAACCAGTTTACATGGCACAATTACCAACTTTCAGAGATATGTTACTATGCTTTACAGAAGGAAATGGAGATTATCAATCACAAGAATATCAATACAGAATATGCTAATTAATTACAGCTTAATGGTACAATCAACTATTTGAAAAATTTGTGAAAGCACTGAAAACTGTTGAAAGAGGAGGAACAGTGGCATGACATTAATATCTATCTTTAGACAGAATAAAAGGCGGCTATTTCTGAAAAATGAGAATGTGATGTTTGAGGAAGAAAAAGAAAACTGCAGAAAAGATTCCAACTATGCAAAAAAAGCTCTCTGATGGAGAAAAATCCTGGAAGAACTTGTGACCCAACAACATATGAAAATAACCCTATCTTTAAAATTCCAGCTGATACTGATTTTGAGCTCAGACAAAAGGAAAGCTCATCTGTAAACATCTGGAACTAAAAACTGAAAATGATTCCATGTGTGGAGAAAGAAGAAATAACATTTTTAAAATTAAAAACAAGAAAGGGAATGATACCAATGACATGATTATTCTGTCTGACATATAAATCAAATAATCCTGAAAACAGCTAGAGCCACAGGGTGATCATTTACCAAGGCCCTAGCATACATTCATTCTCTGACCTAAGCTACAGCACCAGTATAATGGAAATAGCATGTAAAACTTTAGTAAGAAAATGAAGAAGTAGAAACAGCTGTTCTACTTCCAAATACGTAAATATAATTTTATATATACACACTGTATATATCTAGATAGATAGATGCATTCTTGCTTCTCCTATGTATGGCAAGTATTTGAGCTGAATTTCTTTGAAGTGTTTTCCAAAATCAACACATCTGGCATGTGTGAGGTCACAGGATCACAAATATGCATACTTTTTTATTATTCTCATGGAATTTTAGAATGTTACATGATAAGGGCATAGAGATTCTGGCTGAGATCAGCCCTTTGTTGTGCCATTCTCCATCTAAGTACTTGATGCAAATATAAAGTTGTGATGCATCTGCATGCAATATGGTAGTGAACAAACCTCATTTATTTGAGAAAGCTATACCAAAATTTGCACTTAGAACTGTTTAAATATAGCTAAAAGACATTTATTTCCAGACCTAGTTAGAGAAATGGAAATGTCAGTCATCCAGGTTGGAGGCAATCAAGCCCTAGAACTCCCCAGCAGAATGAAACTTTTGAGAACTCCCTCATCTACATCTATGCCAAGTTTTCACAGTGAACTTCAAAGTGCCATCAACACTGTCTTGAATTACATACTGTCTTGTATGACACTGACATGGAAAAAATTACAGATACCACACACTCTCTTCTTCCAGCTCAGCTGTGGAATGTTAACCTCTGAACAGGAAGAAAGAGGAGAAGAAGCAAGTACATGGGGACTGCTCGTGTCTTTAACTGCTATACCCCTTGATAATCTAAAAATGGTCTTGGCTTAAACCAAAGAAAAACATATTGAATGCCTTTGCTGATGGGTGAAATTACACATGGCTAGGGAATACTTTGACAACATGCCTACTACTCACTGATGAAGTCCATATAATTTTCTGATTAGCACAGCACATTGTTTTTCTTCAAAACTGTTCCAGAGCCGCATATACACTTTGTGCAAAAGAGCTGTTGGACAATATAAACAGTAATGACAATGCAAACTAGAATTTAGGATGTCCTCCCCTGCAAAAAACTACAGGTGCAGAAGAATCATAAGAGCAATCTTGATCTCAAAATCTTGCATACCTGGCCAGCTTTATTTCAACAGCAAGAGCAATTTCAACCCATGCACCAAGTTTCCCCTGCATAGCTCCACAGTCTGTGCAAAGATTGGGTTTTTTTAACTTCTCAAGGTGACTCAGAACAGCTAAAACCACAGTATCTATTCCAAACAGGCTTTAAGGAAAAGAGAAATAAGAGAAGTTCTCTGATAATTGGAATGACTCTCTTCAAGACTGGTCCCACCAGGATACAAAAGTTAGCCTCTGTATGTCTCATGTCCACAGCTGGTAGAAAGTAGAACTGAGTAGCAAATGGGAGATGCAAATTTCTCCTGACTCAGAAAGGACTCAAGTGAATCTCCACTTCTCATTTCTGGGAGAACTGTTTTAATGGATGGGCTTTATTTTATGTGCAGGTATTAAAACACTTTCCTCTCCAAATACAGTTTTGAATGAATATGACACTGTGGCAGTTGTTTTGAATGCTCTTGGCTTCATGCACACATGAAAGCCTCTTAAATAGAATTCATCCAGAGAGTTGCATATACCAGGCTTGAGCAGCTATATGCAGGAGATGGGCAAACTCCAGTGCAAAAGGGGGTACTTCTGCTCACAAAGACAAGCAGGACCAGCAAATATGATAAAGACCACATCCATTATGTAGATATGATTATTTAGCAAGTGAAATTGATGCCCATGAATTAATCTGTAATTTCCAACACCTTGCTCTTTTTCCTCACAACCTTTCCTGGACTTTTTGGAATACTTTTAGCATTCCATACATTTCAAGATTCATATAACACTCTCTCGCCTCCACCAGAAAACTCCTTCAGATCAACACAATGCAAGTCTAGATTCTCTGAGCAGCTCTGCACCACAGCCCACCATCAGTGCCTGTGAGTCAGTACTCACCTTCAGAGATGTCTGTTCT